AGGCTCCGAGCATCAGCGCAGAGCCCAATTCGGGGCGCGAACTCACGAACTGTGAGATCCGTGACCTGAGCTGAAACCAAGAGTCGGACGCTTAACTGACTGAGCCCCCCAGGCGCCCCCAGAAATGATCTTTAAACAATCATTTTGAACAACAGATCGACCGTTCTTGCCCAACACCCCGGATCCTGGCAGAGCACCAGAGACATGCCCCACCCCCCTGGTGCAAGGTTCTGCCTCTAAATTCAGTCACACTTCGCCCAAATGACCTCAGCGCTTATGTTTAAGGAAATGAAACACCTTAGACGTCTTCTAAACCTCTCTCTATGCCAGTGACTTCTCCCTCCCTAGGGGTAACAACAATCCAGAATTCCGAGAACGTTCCATGTGTGAACGGCTGGATCAGGAGGGGCACAGCCACAGAGCGGGTCCCGCCCATATGGCTTGAGGATTAACTGGTGTCACATATTCATACAAACGACCTTGAAAACGGCATGCCGTGAAGGAGGGCAGGCTGCTAAACGCTGTGTGACGTACGACGTTCACTGATGCGCAAAAGCATGTGAGCCCGTGCTCTGAGCTCCGGGGGGAATATATGTGACTTAAAATATAAAATGAGGACCTGATTATCGCAGACCTCATTCTTGCCCCGCTTCTGTGGCCCCAACTCAGTGGACGTTCTGGCTCATTCCCTGTGACGTGACCAGCCGCGGTCTGATAATTTCCTAATGCTTCCTGGATGGGTGATCCCCATGCGCCATGTGGGAGCTAGCCACGAGCTCCCTGAGGTGGCTAAACAAACCGTGGTCCATCCAGGCAATGGAACATCATTCAGTGCTAAAAAGAAACGAGCTATCAAGCCAGGAAAAGCCGGGGAGGAAACTGAAATGCATATCACCAGGTGACAGAAGCCGTTCTGAAGAGGCTACAAACTGTATGATTCCAACCATAGGACGTTCTGGAAAAGGCACAACTATGGAGTGGTTGCAGGGGTTGGGGGAGGGAGGGATGAACGGGCAGAGCACAGAGGATTTTCAAAGCAGTGAGGATACTCTGTATGATACTGTACTGGTGGGTACGTGTCATTGCACATTTGTTCTAACCCGCTGTCCAAATGCAAACACGTCACACGTTTGTCCACAATGCCAAGCGTGAACTAAGGACTTGCGTTAATAACGACATACTAATAATTGGCTCATCAATTGAAATGAAAGTCCCATACACTGTGTGCAGGGCAGGGGGCCCTGGGGCGCCTGGGTGGCTCCGTCGGTTAAGCGTCTGACTTTGGCTCAGGTCATGATCTCACGGCTCGTGGGTTCGAGCCCCAGGTCCAGCTCTGTGTTGACAGCTCAGAGCCTAGAGCCTGCTTCAGATTCTGTGTCTCCCCCTCTCTCTGCCCCTCCCCTGCTCGCTCTCTCTCTCTCTCTCAAAAATAAACATGAAACAAAATTAAAAATAATTCCAAAATTAAAATAAAACTGACACTGTGGCATAGCAGAAAGTGCAGGAGACGTTTCCTTTTCGGTTTGTGGTAATTTTAGGGATTTTTTTTTTCCTTCCATCTCGTGTCTCTGCAGTCAAATGCTCACTAGGACAGGTGATAGGGATTAAGGAGGGTACTTGTCATGATGAGCACGGGGCGATGTATGCAACTATCGAATCACTCTCCTGTATACCTGAAACGAATATTACACTGTATGTGAACTAACTGCAGTTTAAATAAACACTTAGACAAATGTTAACTAGGAGAACACGACAGCTGATGCCCCAGAGAGCTGGAAACGGTCCCAAGCTCAAGTTCTTTTCTTTCTTTTTTTAAGTATCAGGAACTTCTCGGCTTTACTGAGGTATAGAGGACAGATAACAATTGTACATACTTAAGGGGTACGACCTGGTGTTTTGAGACGTGTGTACCCTGGGAACCGGGTGCCACAATCAAGCGCACCCACCACCTTGCACAGATCCAGCTTTCTTTTCTTTCCTTTCTCCTGCGGTGAGAACACCTAAGGTCTCCCCTCTCAGCCGATCTCAAGTGCACAGAACAGTACGGTAACTGGGTCACCTCGAGTGGTTCTCCAGTTTCTCTGGCGACATTTAATGGCCACAGAAACCAGGGCGACGGATGTAGAAAGCGGATTAGCATTAACAATACGCATACGTTCGATATATATATTCAAGACTACACGCACCCCTGGAAAAAGAACGCTCTCTGTGCGCACTTGAACGTTTTCAACGGGACGGGAGATATTCTTTAGTGTCAGAAGATGTGCATTTTGTTGAAAATAACGTCCGCTCCACAAGGTGGACAACTGCAAGCACATCAAATGTGTGTTCTGATCCGACGCAGAAGACACGCACGATGTCACGGTCACCTGTTTTGCTTTATATAAATAATCAATGTGGAAATTAAATAATCCTAAGTTAAGGTGGGTCTATCCAATTACAAAATCTGACCCAGCGATCTTGCTTCTAGAGGTATTTGCTACCAATATTCTCCTGTGCCTGGAACATGCACGTTGGGTCCCCCAGAAGAGGCCTCCCAAGGCATGTCTACACCCAGGAGCACGGAGTGTGTGGCTGCGGGAAAGCGAGGGCTCACGTCCCAATCAGAAATGGTCCCAGGATGTGTCATCAAGGCCCGTGCAGTCAGCGAGGCAGTGACCACTGGGAGGTGAGGACAATACAAAATATACACACACGTATTTGCTTTTTCACCTAAAAACTCTCGGGAAGAGAAGCGAGAGACGCATATCTGTTGCCCTTGAGAGAGAAACGTGATTGGCTGGTGGATGGGTACATGACCGTGTGCGCGCGCGCGAGCACGCGTGTGCGTGCAGGGTGGGGGAGGTTGAATTTTCCCCGCACATCCTTGGGTACTTCCTGATTTTGATCTGCCCGGGTACGTTAGCTCAACGTGTTGAAGGAAACAGACACAACGTAAACATTAAGAAGACAGGGAGGAAGAGGAACTTGAACAATTCGTCTTGCTAGAGTTCAGGGTTGCCCATGTGCGCCCGCCCATGCGTATGAAAACACCAAAAGCCATCACACCTGATCGCTTCACCACGCTCTGAATCGCAACGCCCCCTACTTAGGAAAATGGCGACAAATATGTCACCAACACACGGGCAAGGTGGTGTGTTGAAAGTTTAACGAGCTGGGGGCGGGGAGTCACTGCCAAGTGCAAACACTCTCCGGGATACAGGCAACGCTGTGCTGTGGGGGCTCACGGACCAAGGTGTTGGCCATGGACACAGGCTGCCCCACGGGCCACACAGAGCCGGCGCCCAAGGCCCAGCCTTCCCCACTGGGGGGTCCCACCAGCCGGGGCCAGCGGGGTGTCCCGCACAGGTGCCGTGACCTGGCTCAGAGGACATGCAGGAAAGCTGTCTTCACCCTGGAAGGCCCAGGAGAAGAAAGGGGACCCACATCTTCCGCCCCTGTGTTTAAATGTTTTTATGTTTATTTTTTTTGAGAGGGAGAGACAGAGCCCAAGCAGGGGCGCACGGCAGAGAGAGAGAGAGGGAGACACAGAAGCCGAAGCGGGCTCCAGGCTCCGAGCTGTCAGCACAGAGCCCGCCGTGGGGCTCAAACTCATGAACCGTGAGATCATGACCTGAGCCGAAGCCTGCCGCTCAACCGACTGAGGCCCCCAAGCACCCCTAGTCTGCCCCATGTTTAAATGAAACCCTCGGGAGTTAGGAGAAACTGGATGGGAGAGGAGTAAAGCCACTCGTGAAATTTCTGGCGATGCCCCTGGCACTACAATTTTGAAATTTCTGTTTGCTTAAAAACAAGTGGTTGTCATATAAACGTGTCAGAGCGTGCGGCAGGATCCAGGGCGCGGGGACATAGCATCACAGCGCCACGGCCGTGGTCCCCGCGTGCGTGGGTCACACTGCCTAACATGTTCCGCGGGAGGACCGCAACGTAAAAGCTTTTCAAGACAAATAAGCCAGCTCCAGCCCGGGGTGGAGCTCAGTTACCGGCACCTTAGACGATGCTTCGTTCCTCCATCTCCGCCCACCCAGGCCACACGGGCACGGCCGGGAAACAACCAGCCGGCGTGCTGTCCCCTCGGCCGGTGCCGGACTGAGGTCAGACTCACTCTGCGGGTGGCTGTCGGTGGATGCAGCACCGCTCCCGCTCAGGCCCCATCTCCGATTACAGCCACGCCACCACCCTTGAAATCACTTGCAACAATTGACAGAAAATACCGAAAGCAAAGCCAGGTGCCCGCTCTGTGATGATAGACACACATGATTCTAAAGGCGAGCCGGCTTTGAAAGCACATACTGCGCCCCCCCCCATCTCCACGTTAAATACTTCGCTCCTGCAGTGGCTGCGAGGTGACGCCCCGGGCCAGCTGGGGGCGCCCTGTCACAGTGACCCAGCCCTGCAATCCCCCTCTGTCCCTGCTGTGTGCTGCTGGGCCAGGAGCACACCCTCTCTGAGCCTGGGTCCTCATCTGCGATCAGACCAAAGGTACAGCCTCCAGGTAGCGGTTCAGTGACCTCCCGGGTGGCCGTGCCGGACACAGGCCTGGCCATCTTGCCTAGGATGGGGCCGCGGTCTCTGCGGTGGACACCAGGAGCCAGGGCACCCCGGGCAGAGCGCCTGCGTCCCCAGGCGCACGCAGTCCTGAGACTTACCGCATCGGTTCTCGTCCTCCCCGCTGGGGCAGTGCAGGACCCCGTCACACCAGTGAGAGGGGCTGACGCAGGTTCCCGAGGACCCGCACTCGATCCCGGACACCAAGCATTTGTTCTCCACTTGCAGAGAGACGGGAGGGAGACCCAGTCAGCCGGGGACACCAGGAAAACCCCACGCACCCACTGCGAGCGCCAACGTCCGCTCTCCGAGCCCCAAGCGGCAGGAGAGATCACGTCCCCCCTTTGTCTTAATAAGGAGCAGATGCGTCCTTGACCCCATCATCTACCAAAGGAAACAGGGCTGGCCGTCAGAGGCAGGGGGGGCCCCGGTGCATCACTTCCAGGGGGGCGGGGAGGGGCTCCCAGCCTTGGGCTTGGACAGCACCACCCGCCTTCCTCAGGTGACCTCTGGATCCATAAATGCCCTGAGTCCCCTGCCCCAGGCGGATGGAAAGGCCGGGCTGTGGTTAAAGAGCTGCTGCAGGCAAGACCCGCCCCAGCGCGTAGCAGGTGATGCTGCACAGAGATCCAGGGGACAAGTGGCCCCGGGGCGGCAGCTAGCGCCCCAGAGCACCGCGTAAACCCACCGTGGTCAGTACTCCACCAACAGTATGGGATTCCCGCGACCCACGGGGTAGGAGGAAGCGGGAAAGTGACTCCTAACAATGGGGACCGTGAGATTGGAGGAGGAGGATGGGGATTCTGCGTCCCCGTCACCAAACAGAAGCAACAAGCCCCACCCCCAGAGAGCGGGACACCACATGAGGATGCCCCCCTGCACTTACTGAACTTCCAGAGCAGGACGGCGGCCAGCACGGCTCCCGCCAGGACGGCCCCCAGGGTGAAGGTGATACACAGCACTTTCTTCGCCTCTGGGGAAAGGGGGGTGGGCACACCATGTGGTCACAGAATTTCTTAGAAGGCACACTCTCACATCTCACCACTACTTGTATAGTACAGCATATCATGAGATAATGACTTTGTTTAAGTTTATTTATGTATTTGGAGAGAGAAAGCCAAGTGGGGGAGGGGTGGAGAGAGAGGGAGAGAGAGGGTCCCCAGCAGGCTCCACACGGTCAGCACAGAGTCCGCTGCGGGACTTGAACCCCCAAACTAGAAGATGGTGACCTGAGCCACAGTCAGATGCCCAACCGACTGAGCCACCCAGGCGCCCCATGATAACTTTTTATACACTCAAAAATGAGGCTTTTAATTTTAAGAACGCATCCTGCGAGGTCTCAACCTCTTCCGCGCACTCAATTTTATGCGTTTTAGGGCACAAAAGCAAAACAGGAAGCCATGATATGAAGTAACATATATTATGTTAAGCTCTTTTAAAAAAAAAATATCATCTTAAAATGGTCCAATAAGTGATTAATGTAAAAAATTGCCCCAAAGAGGGAAAATGCCTTGTTTTAGTAATTCCAAGCATAGGCGCACCTGGGTGGCTGAGTCGGTTAAGCGTCTAACTTCGACTCAGGTCATGATCTCGCGGTTTGTGAGTTCGAGCCCCGCGTCAGGCTCTATGCTGACAGCTCAGAGCCTGAAGTCTGCTTCGGATTCTCTGTCTCTCTCTCTCTGTGCCCTTCCCCTGCTTGCATACTTTCTTTCTCTCTCTCTCTCAAAAAATAAATATTTAAAAAAATTAAAAAAAAAATACAAGTGTAAGATAGCAGTAATAATGTCCCCAAACTATCACCTCCCTGGCGCTGGTGTTCAAGGTAGAATAAATTGTCTTACTCAAGGCAGGTTAGCGAATGGATGTCACAGACCCACAGCGTCCCGTTCGACAGCCACCAGCCACACGTGGCTGTTTGCACTTCAGTTACGTATCATTAGGGGTATTAAACAGTTCCGTAAATTCAAATGCTCAACAGACATGAGGCCGGGGGCTGCTGTACGGAAAGGGCGGGTGTAGAACATTCCCATCACTGCGGAACGTTCCATCGGGCAGTGCTGACATCAGCCTTTTGGTTGGAGGAGGAGCACTGAGCTCACATCTCAGCTACGAATAAAGTCATTTGCAGAGGGTCATCAGCGTTCTCTAGTCAAAACAAAACGAGGGGCCCGTTGTTGGTCAGAGTGTAAGCCAAGGTTCAGAGGGCAGGGCCAGACAGGGCACACCCAGTAATTAGTGGCTCCGGGGTGGGGGGTGGGGAGCAGAGGGTAGAGAGAGAGGCTGAGGGCAGGGAGGCGGAGAGGGCATTCAACAGACCCTCCAACCCCCTCTGTTTATAGGACACCTGGGTGTCCCGGAGGGTGGGGGAGGCCCGGGGAACCCCACCTGTACACGTCTGTGCTTCTGGAAGTCACCCGGGGCTAGAGTTCAGCTTCTGGAGTCAGGTGGACTAGGGCGGACCCATCTGTTTGGGCTCAAAGCCACTCCTCTCATCTTGTTATCAAGTTCTTAGGAATCACCAGGGAGCCTGCTAACCAGCGTTCCTGGCCTCGATCACTAGGAATTCGGATTCCACTGGGGGGCGGGGAGGCATGAATTTGCAATTCTAACAGGCTCACAGGGGAGGCGAAGGCTACTGGTCTGAGGAGAGCCCTGAAGTTACCAGAACTGGGCAGGGCGGAGAGGCAGGGGACGCTCACAGGGGAAATTCCAAATGGCCAGTTTGACCCGTTAGCCAAGGACAGTTTCTCACTTCAGGGAGCTTCCCTGTATGCTGTTTGATCTAGGATAAAATAATGTGCCCGGTGAGCTAGAAGCTATTAAGTATTCTGAACCTCTCAAGGGGCAGAGGGCAACCTGCCCCCCTCTCACTAGGAGCAAGTGCGCAGCGGGACCCCCGATCCCACCTTCGCTGGACAGGCATCCTGCAGTCAGCGTCTGGTCGGTCCAGACCTGACTCGGGGCTGGTTTGCAACCGTGCTACTATTAGGTTTAATTACACCTCACTGCCCATGCCCCTTCATCGTTATCGATTCGGTCTGCCGTTGATTCGGCCCTAGCGAGCCCAGGACCAAGCATCTGCATCACTGACTGTTGGCCTCGATTCCTCCAAAACCCAGCCTTTAAGCAGTGCACGCACTGGGACGCAGCGTGAAACATTTAGGACCGTTGCTACGGCAAATAGGTGCATTATGTCCCCAAATAGCCCTCGCACTCCCGAATCTGTGCTATTTGAGGGCGCTGAAACTTCCGTTCTTTCCTGTGATGACGGCCAGGCCACTGTACGTTTGTCAAAACCCACAGGACGCACAAAGACTGTGATCCTAATGTAAAACTATGGACTTTAATGACAATGTATCCATATTGGTTCATCGGTTGTAACGAGCGGGGCCCGCTAGCTACGGCAAGATGAGGGGGCAGACTTGGGGGTAAAAAGGGTAAGAGGGACTGCGCCCCGCTGTTGGGTAAGCCTAAAAACTACTCTAAAAAACTGTCTGCTAATTAAAAAAACATTTCCAAGGCCAAACATTAGACTTATCAAATGTCCGTTGCGTCTGTAGAAGTCAATTAAAAAGGTCTTAAAAATAGGTTCACTCAGCTCGTTTTGAGTTTAAAGGGCAGTTTTGTAATGCAAAGTCACACATGTAGGCTCATGTCCTTCCCTTATAAAGTCACTGATCAGGACCGTACAGATTCCTGTCCAATTGCCTGTCATCACCAGGTTTCCCCCAGAACAGTGGAAATGTGGGTGTCAGGTGAGTGGGCTCCCCTGGTCTGCCTGCCCTTTCAAGGTGCTGACCTCAAGAGGGGACCCTTGGTTTCTGATCACCACCCCCTTTTTTCTGGGAGGCAGTTACCACTGTCAGGAGTTCCCTAGCCGTCTACACCCTGGCTTCCTTCCAACCACCATGATGAACTAAGACCGGGGCTTCTGGGCGCGGCTCTACTGACATCTTGGCCGGGTCTTCCGTGGCGGGGGGCTGTCATGTGCACCACAGGTGTTCAGCAGCATCCCTGGCACCTGCCAGTCACAGCCTCTCCCCAGTTATAACGACCAGGCCCTGCCCAGTGTCCCTGGGGGTCAAAATCAGCCCCGATTAAGAACCACGGGTCTCAACCTCCCCAACTACCACCAGAAAGACATCAGTGCAGAGGCGGGCATTTCCTTGATCCGAGAGGAACCAGGGGAGGGAAAGAGGGAACCGTATAGGAAAGGAGAAGGGGTAACTGAGGAGGAGGAGGACGGAAGGGTAGGAGATGTGGGAATAAAAAGGAGCAGAGGTTGGGGCGCCCGGGGGGCCCAGTCGGTGAAGCGTGTGACTTTGGCCCAGGTCACGATCTCATGGCTTGAGTTCGAGCCCCGCGTCGGGCTCTGTGCCGACAGCTTCCGATTCTGTGTCTCCCTCTCTCTCTGCCCCTCCCCCGCTCGCACTCTGTCTCTGTCTCTCAACAATTGGCATTAAAAAAAAAAAAGTAGAGGTTGACGAGAGGAGGAAAGAACAAGAACCCTTTGCGAAGGGTGGGGGAAGCAGACGGAAGTGTCGGGGCGGAATTAAGGGTGACGGCACTGGTTGAGGGCTACAGGGGTCCAGAGACGTGCACACGGAGCCTCGAGCAGCACAGGCCATGAGGACTCACGTCTGTGCTTTGTGATGCGCTGCGGGGGCAGGTGGAAATTCACTTTATTGTTAATCTTTGACCGTACAGGCTGTGTGTACATGCGTGCTTGCAAAATAACAACCCCGTCGACAAAAATGCGAATTGTTGACTCACTAATACCAGTACTTGTTTACGTGCTCTACACCTGCTCTGCTCTGTCCACAGGATCCTGTTTTATTTTACTTTATTTTTTTTTAAATGTGTACTTTAAAAAAAATTTTTAAGGTTTAGTTTATTTTTGAGATTTATATATACGTGTATAGAAAGAGACAGAATGTGAGCAGGGGAGGGGCAGAGAGAGGGAGGCACAGGATCCGAAGCAGGCTCCAGGCTCCGAGCTGTCAGCCACCGGGCCAAGCCGAGACTCGAACCCACACGAGCCGTGTGAGATGACCTGGTCGGACAGCAACAACAGAAGCCGAACCACCAAGCCCTGTGTTTATTTATTTGGAGACAGAGAGTGTGTGTGAGCAGGGGAGGCGCAGAGAAAGAGGGAGAGAGAGAGAGAGAGAGGGAATCCCAAGCAGGCTCCGCGTTCGATCCCATAAACTGTGAGATCAGGACCAGAGCCCAAATCAGAGTCGGCCGGTTAACAGACTGAGCCACCCAGCACCCCGCCCCCACCCCCCGCGCTCCGTCCACAAGATCGTTAAAGCCACGAGATACGTCCGTGTGACAACCACACCAGCCGCCTCGTTCGCTGAGCACAAAGGCCTTGTCCCGTGTCTCAAACACGACTCGCCGTTCCAGGGAACCGCACCACAAAGACAGGGTGGGTGGTGACTCCCGTGGCCTAGCTCACCATTCATTCCACACGACCCAGCGACAGGCCCCGCAGGCAAGAGCAGGACAGGGAGGCCCTGCGTGCAGACAAGGCTGCGACAGGAGGGTTAAGGAAAGTGAAGAGAGGGCTTTGCAGCGGGGCCGGAGGCCAGAAGGGCAGTGACAGCGAGGGAGAGGGGAGCCCCGGCAGACGGAGGACGGTTAGCGACAGAGCCACCAGAGAAGACAGGCCCCAGCGCCTGGACTGTTGTAGGAAGTAAATGCAAAGGGGTCCTACTTGAGGTGCACACTGTCCCCGACGGGGACTTGGGCTGCGTGTGGCTGCTGGGCGTGGAAGCGTGCGTCAGCACCCTCGGCGCGTACTGGGGCACCGCGGGCGGGTAGTAGGGAGCCGGATACACCGAGTAGGCGCCGGGGGCCACGGCGGGCCGCGGGGGGTACAGGCCTTCAGGCTGGTATCCATGGTTTTCGTAGAAAGGTCCGACACCTGGCGGGGGCCCCTGAACAATGAAGAAGAAGATGAATCACATAAAACCCCAATTGCCCTAAAGGTTACACGCCCACCCGCGGTCCTCAGACAAGGTGCTGATAAGGCTGCTGCAGACTCCTGTCGGGCCAAACACGGAACTCACCTGCAGTAAGGGCTAGCCAGAACTTCCAGCTGGTTGTCAACGGTTTTTGTATTTGCTCACTAGTCATTTTTTGAAGTAAAGAGCGAGTAACGGTCAACACCGCAATTTAGTGAAGAAGAAAATATGAATTAAAGAAAAAACGTGCAGGAGTCTGGGAATGGGTCAATACCCAATCCCAGGGACGGAGATTCTCAGGGGAACAGTACCGGCTGTATCTGAGCGGCAGCCAGGCCCCTGCATGCACGACCCCCTGGAAGCCTGACCAGACCCCCCGAGGATGGTGCAGGGATGACTGACGGACGCGCCCATTTTGCAGAGACGAACGTGAATGATGGAGGCTGAGAAATTTACCTAAGGGTCCACATTATACATGCTATTCTAGAGGTTCTTTTTCTATCTCCTCTTCTCTTACAGAGACGTGTCACCATTTACTAACGGACATTTAAATAGCTTGTGGATGGGGGCTGTGGGCACGCACGTCCGCAGGGAGCCTGAGGGGTTCTGTCGCCCTGAGGGCAACCGCTGGGTCTCAGCGCACAGGGTGTGCAAGGGGCTGCCCCAGGCCGAGCTTTTTTTCCGGCTCCTTCCATCTTCTCCGAATGCCCTTCTCTTCTCCCTCTGCCTAAACGCCGCCTTCTCCCGGCTGCCCCCTCAAGACCCCGCCTGGACCCCCACCGTGTCCTCTGTTTCCATCCTCCTTAATCGCCCACTGGCCGGGCCACGCTGGGAGGCCACGTGTGCCCCCCTAGCCTTCTTCCCACTGATTCATTTCTTCCGTTTCTTGCGGACCATGGTCTCCGACAGGACTGGTATTCCGAGCAGAGGAGGCACCACACTTAGCATTTTAAGCGGGGCCTCCAGGGAAGCGAGATTATACAGCAATGCACCAAAGGCGGGCTCTCAGGGTTCACCTCTGCTTAATAACTCACTGATGCTCTCCTTCAGAAGTTCAAAGACTGTAACTCTGAACCAGAGCAGTGCACAGAAGGGGAAACAGTGTAATCTCTAATCTAAATGGGGCACCAGAGGCAAAAAAAAAAAAAAAAAAAAAAAAAAGCACACGTGTTTGGTCTCTATCGGAAGCATCTAAGAACATGCTGTCCCACCCAGGGAAGGTTGCAGCAGGCACAGTGGCCTGTCCCCGCAGAGTCTTGTGCAGCGGATAAGAAGTTTTAAATGGATCCAGTGACTAGCTACCGGCAATGGCTAAAGGGGAAAAAGCGTAAAGATCTATTCTCCAGATAGAAGATACGGAAAATGTCTGTTATGACACAAAGCTGCCCTGAACGCATGCATTCCCAGGTATAAGATAAATCAGTGAAACTTGGGTGGATCCTGAGAAACTTAACAGAAACCCATGGGGGAGGGGAAGGAAAATAAAAAAAAAGGAGCTTAGAGTGGGAGACAGCCAAAGCATAAGAGACTCTTAAAAACTGAGAACAAACTGAGGGTTGATGGGGGGCGGGAGGGAGGGGAGGCTGGGTGATGGGTATTGAGGAGGGCACCTGGGTGTTGTATGGAAACCTTTTTGACAATAAAGTTCTTATATTGAAAAAAAAAAGATAAATCAGTGAGAGATAATGGGGACCAAGGATAAGGACACTGCATTAGTCTCCAGAGTTGCTGGCGGTGGGGGCGTCCAGAGAGAGGGATGGTCAGCCCAGTGCTCCATTCGGTCGCAGCCTCCCCCGGTTCATCAGGACACGCGGCTGCACAGGGGTCTGCTGTCCTTCCCTGGGACTGCCTCCCTCCGGGCACCCTCCTGCCCTTTTCCTTCCACACATCCTATCCTGAAACCCACCTGCAGGGCAGGAAGAGAAGAGGCCCCAGTGAGCAGTGCACATACCCCACAACCGCCCCACAGCTCTGGGGCGCTCTCAAGGGGTGCAGCTGCTGTGTCCGCACTCCCGCCCAGCCTCACCGAGAGAGGGCCCCGACCAGCATCCGTGGAGCACACGCATTCCCTGCGGCCAGCTCTTAAAATGCTGCCCAGCACACACCTCAGAAAACAACAGCAGGAATTAAGGGCACGAAGAAAAGGCTGGGGAGGTAATTATTAACCACTTACTGAGTTTAAAGCCATCCTGAGTTTATCAGCAGCATCAGGTAATGGTAGAGATCCGGAACGTTCAAGACGACCTAGAAGACAGAATGATAAGACTGTGGTACTTCCATACCGGTGACTTTTTAGGAGACCCGTGGGGAAAGAACCAGAAGGCTTTCTAGGTGAGAGTTAGCTCCGGAAGAAACGGCAGTTCTACCCGTTCACCTTGGCCCTCACCTTCGCCCGCCTCTTCCCCACGCACGGACGGAAGGAGCCTGGTGCTTGCCTGCATTAGGGTCCAAGGCCAGCGACGCTTAACACGGCTCTGGCCAGACATCCCCAGGCTGCCTCTTGCAACAGAGGATCCTGGCAACAGAAGCAGGCACGAGGTGCCTCTGAGACCCTCAAGTTCAGGCGAGGTTAACGGGGGGCAGAGACCTGGGGTCAGCTCGTGGCAATACCCCTTCCTGGAGGTATCACTGCATCAGCGCCTGAACCTCTCTGAATCTGGCACAGAAATGGATACGGAGTCGGGCACGGTCCCGTTCCGGTGAGGATTTTTTTTTTTTTTAACGTTTACTTATTTTTGAGAGAGAGAGACAGAGGCAGAGTGTGAGCGGGGGAGGGGCAGAGAGAAAGGGAGACAGAATCCGGGACAGCGGTCAGCACAGAGCCCGACGTGGGGCTCGAACTCACAAACCGCGAGATCGTGACCTGAGCAGAAGTCGGACTGAGCCACCCAGGCGCACCCCCCCCCCTCCCCGGTGAGGATTTCATGAGGGGGCCCAAGCAAGCAACAGCTGGCCAGGAGAGGCTCCCTCCCTCACTCCTGCTGAGCGCCCACGGGGACGGGATGGGGGTTGGGGGGGTAGGTGTCCCCTGGAGAGCACGTGGTCCAGAACTTAGTACCCGAGGGAGGTCACACCGGACTTTCCAAATAAGCCATGTGGAATCTCCTACTTCTTAATAAACACATGTAAAAAACCCTCCGTAAAACACGTCCACACGTGCCCATTACACCACCTACCACCCCAAATCCAAAAAAAAGCCACTTCAGAACTGACCATTTTGATCATTTCTGAGGTTGGCGGTAATGAAAAGAAGGCGCTTTTGTTTGCAGAGGTTTGTGAACAGTTGTGACAGCAATTTCTAGAAACACCATCCACACGGGATGCGTTATAGTAAAGCCCCCATTCGGCCATCACTCCCTCCCTCTTGTGGGCACAGGAAGGGCTGCCCTGGGCCCCTCCCTGCTGTCTCGGAATGGCCAAAGAACACTGCAAGAAATGGCCCTCCCAGCCCTCCACCCACGGGACCGTGCTCCCAGTGAGAAAGTTCTGGCCTTCACACGGCCCGTAAAGTGCCTGGCACACAGCAGGTGCTCAAACGGCGGCCGGCAGCACAGTGCAGTGGGTGAGCCCGTCCCCTCCGGGACCTGGGACCTGGGGCAGGTCAGCTAACGTTCCCATGCCCCAGCGTCCTCATCTACAAAAGGAGATCAGAGCAGCCCCCACTACCGGGTTGATGAGCTGTGAAATGAGTGGATACCGATGTAGCCCTCGGTGTCTGCAGCAAGGTCAGAGATGCAGCCATTTCTGTTAAATAAAAGTGATTATAAAGCTGACAGATGTTGCCGCTGGGGGGCTGGGGGGCTGGGGACTGAGAGGAGGCATTTGCAGACTTGCCTTGGGTACTTCTCCCCAACGGCCAAGTCCACCCGCCCGGAAACCCCAGGGGAGCGAAATGCGACACTCCAGCCCCCGATCATCACTGGACTCGTCAAACTCAAAACGCACGTTAACTTGCTGTAAATGAAAATGTGAGGATGGCTTTGTAATCTTGGGAAACCTCCCTGAGCAGGTCACGATAAACAGGCACCATGTCATTTCTTTACTGTTCACATAGAGCGAAAATACACGCGTGAGTCCATAGGGATAGCTGTGGGATTTTTTCACTTTAAAAAATCAAAAAGGGGCAACGCTGTTCTAGATACGAGGAAAGAAACCTGAGCAGTATGCACTTGGGAGGGTCCCCATGGAAGCCTCTACATGGTGTGATTATCACATATTAAAACACCTGTCCAGGGCGCCTGGGTGGCTCAGTTGGTTAAGTGTCCGACTTTCGATTTCGGCTCAGGTCATGATCTCACAGCTCGTGAGTCAGAGCCCCGAGTTGGGCTCTGTATTGTCAGCTCAGAGCCTGCTTGGGATTCTCTCTCTCCCTCTCTCTCGGACTCTCTCTCTCTCTCTGGCTCTTTCTCAAAATAAGTAAACTTAAAAAAAAAAATCCACCTGTCCTACGTGTGCCCCTTGAAGAACAAGGGCTCTAAGACCCAACACATACAGTGTCTCCCGCTCCCCTCTGGTCCAAGTTGGGGGAAAAAAATCCCCAAGGTTACTTTGCAAAGCATTCTGCCTAGGCAAACATTCTCAGCCCTCTGGTTTCCGGCTCCCCGCGCCTCTGAGCTGTCTCACCAGTTATAGGTTTGGGTGAAGTTTCAGGAAATGAAAATCTGATCCCTCTGGCGTCTTTCCCAGTTTGAGAGCCCTCTGAAAAGAATGATCACTCAACGCTCGAAATCCATGCTCCTTGTTCATTCGAGATCCCTAACAGAGAGAGACGAGGAAGCCAGGGAAGGAAGAAGCCCAGGCGGCCGCAGCCATGAATGATCCAGGAAAAGCCACAGGACCCAGAAGTCACGACAGGATAATCCTATCTCATCCAGAGATCCCACGAGCCACACAACCTTAGAACCAGAAACACCCGGTGCGCCCAGATCAGCCTCCTCGGACTTTGGAACAGAAGACAGGAGTCACACTGCCTGTAATTTTCTCTGGCTGAAAAGAAGGGAAGGGGCAGGGTCTCACTCTGGAACTGGATCTCTAAGAAGCCCCGCCCGGGAGGCCACACGGGGGCGGGTTCATCTTCAAAACCGGCACGTGTAGAAAAAAAGGTTACGTGTCACAAAAACACACAACAAACAAAACAAACACAAACGCCTACGCATTTCCACAGCAAAGCAAATCTCTTCAACTGGTTTTTGAGCCGAGCAAGACAGCCTAGATGGGGGGAGACGTGGTTTCTCAAACATCCTTTCCTATCATTTAAAGGACACAGATGCTTGTCCTCGAAAGCACTTTTCTCTTTAAGTGACAAAAGAGCAGATGTGTGACCAAGCTCCTAGCCCCTCCTTGTCCCCGGCCAGCTCCCCATGCCGGCACCGAAAGGTCCACTTGAGTCACACAACACGACACGGTGGTTTCGGTCACTCGGGGCTCTCTTTGCAGAGAGCTGGGTCACCCCGAGCACCTGCCCGGCCACTGCTCGGCAGGACCGTGCCGTGGAGTCCTGCCTGCACCCCGTGACATGACGAAGCTGTTTCCAAGCGATAAATTTCTTCTCTGGAAATCTCAGAAAGCATTTGCTTTCTGAGGCCCCCCTTCCTTGACCCCTGTACCCCTTTCTTCAAACTTCGAAGCGAGCAACACCAACAGACACTCCTTATCCAATGAACAAATGATCAAGGACAGCCCCTTTATGCCTCAACCACTGCGTCAAATCACAAGTGTCGTTATAGGGCGCCTGGGTGGCTCAGTCGGTTAAGGGTCCGACTCTTGGTTTTGGCTCAGGTCCTGATCTCGCGGTTCGTGAGTTCGAGCCCCGCATCTGACAGCGCAGAACCTATTTGGGATTCTCTCTCTCTCTTTCTCTCTCTCTGCCTCTCCCCTGCTCATGCTCTCTCTCTCTCAAAATAAATAAACTTAAAAAAATGTTTAACCACCCCCCAAATCCAAAGCGCTGTTAGATGCAAATTATCGGACAGTGGTGGGTTTAAGTAGCAAGTCAACATGAACAAGTATAAGACAATCGGACAAAAGGCCTACGCGGTGATTCACACAGGAACAGTGCAGGCACACAGAGGCAGAGTCATCACCTCAGGAGAGGTTCTGCCCGCATCCTCCAAGTTTCTTTTTCTATGAATGCCTCATTGTCCCGGTTGAGATTACAAACTTTTTAGGGCAGGAATTGGGTCGGGTCCCTTTTTTTCTTTCTGTCTTTTTTCTTACAGCTAAGCTTTGTTCGCTTACTAGCATACAAGAAAGCGTTCCAATATTTCTTGAGTTCCAGAGGCCAAAGGAGTAAGACGGAATCTGAGGGACAGAGCAAGCCGGAAAGCCTGCACCTGGACAAGACAAAACCAGCCTCCAAGGTGAGGACGTGGGTGACCTCACGGGCCCAGGTGCACAAGACTGAGTGCACACCTAATGTGACAGGCCGGCTGGGGAGGCGTCCGGGTCCCTGCAGGGGAGAGGAGTCCCGAGACGTGCAAAGGCCCCGGCTAGGGTTGAAGACCTTGCCCAAGTCTATCTGTGGAATGGGATAATAAGGTAATAGGGTTGTTTCGAGGACCAAGTGTGTCCGTTTCCAACACCGTGGCCAACACACGCTAGGCATTGAACAAACACATCGTGACAGCAGCTAAGATCTGCTTGCCTATAGCAAAGGGACTGTCATGTGCGAGAGACATTCAGTTTAGTCTGTGTAAATCCAAAGGACGCAGCCAGGATCAAAGCGGTCAGCGGTATCAGAAAGGCAGGTGTAACCCGATCCCGGGAAACCAAATTTCCAACAGTGAGGAAGTTTAAATAGTCAACTAGTTGCCTTGGAGAGAACAGAGTTCCTCAAACGGAAGCATGTTTGATCTGAGACTGGCAGGTGGGCTCTCCACGCGTATTGGTCCAAGCGTATTCTAGAACGGTGCTGAGCTTTGACTGGGGGGGGGGGGCCAGGGACGATGAACTCTTATTGCCTGAGGTCAGACACCCGAAGAATGACCCAGCACCCCTGGAAAACAGGCCCCACGTCCCTGGAGTTCAGATCAAGGGGTGAAATGAGCTCAGGCGTGGGGTCCTGCCAGGACGGTCCCTTGCAGAGCAGTGACCTTGAGGGACTCCGATGCCGGGTCTCCTGCCTCGTACACCAATAAGTGGTCATGAGGCCCAGGCCACGTCTCCTTCCAGCTCAGCTCTCGCTTGACG